GTATGTGTTAGGATTTTAAATGTGCGGTTATGAAATTATGAAATCATAAAATGTTAGGATTTTGAATTGTGAAATCAGAAATTATGCTTGTGGTTTCAGAAATTAGGGTTTTGAATTTTGAATAGTGTCTATATTTTTTGCATTTTGAATTGTCAATCCTGTCTATATTTTTTGAAATTAGGGTTTGGAATTTTGAATTGTGAATTTTGAATTGGAAATTATATTTTTGCTTGTTAATAAAAAGAATTGAGAATTGAAATTCATATTATGAAGTTCAAAACCCTAATTGAGAATTGAAATTTATATTGTGAATTCAAAACCCTAATTCATATATGAGAATTGAGAATTGAAATTCATATTTTGCTTCTTATTTTTTGCTTGTTAATTGAGAATTGAGAATTGAAATTCATATTATGAAATTCATGAATTGAGAATTAAGGTGGACTGGCAATTTCAATTCGGGGTCCACATGCTTACACATATAAGATCATTTTGTTTCAGAAAATAAGACTGTAAACTGTATGATTGAATTCAAAATCTGAAAATTAAAATGAATCTGAAAAATTCAAAAGTTGACAGATTTGAAAAATAAAAAATAAAAAATAAAAATGAATTTAGTGCATAACTGCCCATATAACTGATATAGGGGTATTTTTGAAAAACCCAAAATATGAGACATAAACACCCAGAGAAGACTTCTCTTTATAATAGTACTAGATATATATATACACCTTTATTCAGTGTTTAGAAATTGGATTAAAATCAAGACTAAAATAGTCAATTTATTATTCTCAAAGTAATAAAGGGATTAGTGTGAGTGATCTATTCCCTTTTGAATGAATTATTTTGCATTTGATTTTGGTCTAATCTCTTCATAGATATTATTCGTTGCACTTAATTCATGCATTGTGTAAAATTAAAGGATAAAAGTTGATGCAATTAGAGCTTCAAGAATCAAATTGATTTGAGACAAGAAGCAAACTGCACGACTAGGGATTCAACTTGCCTTTTATTACAAATGAAAATCATCTACATTGTTTTTAGGGAAAAGATCCGCATCAAACCCAAAAATTATCTACAAATGAAAATTATTACAAATGAAAATCATCTACAAATGAAAATTATCTATTTACAATTAATTATACCGAAACAGATTGTGTTATGCACCTCTTTAAAGAAATTGACGATTCTCTTAGTATAGAATAGCAATCAACGCAATGCCAAAAATGTAAGAAACTAGACTTCTAAGCAGTTCTAATGACGCTGATTTGAGATTTTCCAGATTTATACCCAAAGAGAACAACACTTCCGAAATTACTGTTTAACACCAATTTTCTGGACATATTTGAATGCACCAGTTAATATAGATTTTGACTCCAAAAATTATGAGAAAATTTTGATATGCAATTGAATATGTAATTAATCAACTGTAAAAATTCTTTACCTAGAGGATCACTATTTGGCTTTGGTTTTCTCGATTTTTTTATTACAGTGACAACACATCTTTTATTGATATATGTGGGATTCTCAATTCAAAAAGTCACATGGCAACAGTGAATTCACTGATTTAGCTTACAGTGAGCATGCCCTTATGTTGTCGGTATATGCAAATGAATTGTCAAGTCATGTGACTCGGTGCACAGGCATTGTTTTTCTCTATTTTCTGATTACAGTGACAACTCATCTCTTATTGATATATGTAGGATTGTCAATTCAGAAAGTCACATGGCAACAGTGAATTCACTGATTTACCTTACAGTAAGCATGCCCCTATTTTGTCGGTATATACAGATGGATTGTCAAGTCAAGTGAGTTGGTGCACAGGCATTGTTTTTCTCTGTTTTTCTGATTACAGTGACAACTCATCTCTTATTGATATATGTGGGATTGTCAATTCAGAAAGTCACATGGCAATAGTGAATTCACTGATTTACCTTACAGTGAGCATGCCCTTATTTTGTCGGTATATGCAGATGGATTGTCAAGTCACGTGACTTGGTACACAGTATTCCTTTTTCTCTGTTTTGTCATTCTAGTGACAACTCATACCTTGTTCGTATATGTGGGATTGTAATGCAGAGGCATATTTCTAAAGCCGTTTATAACCAACTATTTAAACGACTAAAGGTGAAGACACAACCTTACAACTCATTTCGCCCTATGAAATTATCATTCATTTGTTTAAAAAAATTAGCATGGCTACACGATTCATGGGAGGGGGTGGGAATCGCAGAGGTGGTAGGAACTTGCAAAGGGGTGACAGTTCACGACGAGGAGGGGGAAGGGACGTGGCAATGCTGAAGACGAAACAACAATACCTATTTTAGATTATACTTGTAGTTATCGTGATAGGTTTGGGAAGTGGCATTTTTTTATGCCCAAGTATTATCCAATTCAAGGAGGTTCATGTATGGATCCATATGATAATCAAACAGGATATGGTTTAGCAGACGCTAGACTTCTGAAGTGGCCCGCACTATTTATAGAGCGAGTGCAAATGGAAAGATTATGTTGCGAAAATCGACTGAAGGTGCCAAAAGCACGTTCTGTTGAGATCCAAAAGGAAGATGCTGATAATGTTGATCGACTATGTGAAAGACTACAACGTGAGATTTCTCAAATGCGCCGTAGGTTAGCCCACGATATGCAACTATACATAGTTAAGAAGGATGCCCAGAAGAACAGAACAGAACCAAATGTTGCGGCTATCAAGGGTATCATTGAGGATCCTGAACTTGTCTCTGACGCTAAGCTTTCGGATTATTCAGACTCTGAGATTGCCGATTTAAGCGCGAATTAAGTGTTAATGTCTACACTTCGGCAATATTAGGTCATGCATTAATATGTAATGTCTGTGTTAGACTAAGTGTTTCCGTAATGAGTTTGTCAGATTGTCTGCCTAATATTTGTCTGTCTAACTATTATGTTTATGTATTGTGTGTTCAGTTCAGGGTGTCCATGATGTATGTATTGTGTGTTCAGTTCATGGTGTCCATAATGTATTTTTGTGGGAGACTTATGTTTGTACTACCTATGTAACTGAAAACTGTTACATTTGCAACTTCAGTTATGTTGTTTTCATGCCCGTATGAGTATTTAGTAAATTAGTAATTTCGTATATTATGTATTACGTTTTATTACAAAAATGTTGACAAAATATATTTTAGGAGAAATACACATTCTCTTAACTTGTTCATCTTCTCAATCGTAACTACCCAAAAATATAACCATTATTTATTGAATATAACAAATAACGTTCTCATTCTTACAAAAAATACACTACCAATTGAATAAAACAAATAATCTTTCCATTCATTCATTTATTGCACAGCATCAGTCTTATGAAATAAGCGAAACCAATTGAATCACAATAACATCAACTCCAACCCAATATTTACATTACATAAGTTCCTGTTCGTAATCGGAATTCAAATTACATACAAGTTACATTACATAGCAAAAAATGGAAAAAGTACCATTTGTATGTAAAAAATACATCACCAAAATTTGAGGTCTTTCTCTTCTTCTTTCTTGCTGCAACTCTCGCGGTGGCCTTCGTCTTCTTGGCCTACTCCGCGGTGCTCTTTGCGTCTCACCCTTCATCGTTGTTCGTCGAATTGCACAGTGTCTGGGTGTGCTTTGGATTGTAGACCATGTATATCACCTTCTAACCCAAAACAAAGACGAAAGAATTTTTTTTTTTTTTAATGAAAACGGCTAGAAAACAGTTTTACTAAACCGTTTTTCTGAATTACATTATCACATTCTAACCAAAAACAAAGACAAAAGAAAAAAAATGTATATTTAAATGAAAACGGCTTTAGTAAAGCTAAAATAAATTTCTGAATAACACATTCTAACCCAAAACAAAGACAAAAGAAAAAAAAAAAAAATTTTACATGAAAACGGCTTTAGTAAAGCCCCAAAAAAATTCTGAATTAGTAAAGCCCAAAAAAATTTTTGAATTACATTATCACCTTCTAACGCAAAACAAAGACAAAAGAAAAGAAAGAAAAAACATGAAAACGACTTTAGTAAAGCCAAAAAAAATTCCTGAATTACACATTCCAACCCAAAACAAAGACAAAAGAAGAAAAAAAAAATTTAACATGAGAACGGCTTTAGAAAAGCCAAATTTTTTTTACGAATTATATTTATCACCAAAACAATGACAATAGAAAAAAAAAAAATTTAAAAAATAATAAAATAAAATAAAATAAATTTTAAATGAACAGTAAAAGCGTGGTTTCAATCCACGCTTGTTATATTGAACAATGAAAGCGTGGTTTCAATCCACACTTGTTGTAGTGAACAGTGAAAACGTGATTGTGAATCACGTTTTCTTAAGAAAAGAATATGCATAGTGAAAGCGTGGTTTGGAACCGTGTTTTCTTCAGAAAACTCATGCACAGTGAAAGCGTAGTTTGGAACCACGTTTTCTTTAGAAAATAAATTTATGTTAAAAGCGTGGTTTGCAACCACGCTTTCTTAATTAAAAACGTGGTTTGTAATAGCGCTTTCACTATTCATCAAATTTTTCGCTCCAAACAGTGAAAACGTGATTTGTAATAGCGCTTAGCCTAATTTGGGGAATCCATTCAAACTAGGCCTAGTTTGGGAATTAAGATAGTAAATTGGCTTAATATGGGAAAAGCCCCAAAAAAGTTATCCCAACTGCGTGAAGCAGATAGCTATTTGCACCGTTGGGAGAGCAATGTGATAGATGCAGCGCAACTTCAATGGGTGTATTTGCACCGTTGGGAGAGCAATGTGAGAGATGCAGCTTCAATGGGTGTGCACTGTCGGGAGAGCTGGGTTTGAGGGTGTGTGCGCGCGTGTGTGTGAGTGTGAGGGTAGATGTGGAATCAAATGTGTGTGCAGTGAGTAAAAAAATTAAGAATAATGTTTTTTGGATGCGTAACGAGAAAGATGTGCAAAGAGGTGTTTGGTGCGGGTAGGTAGAAGCTCCCTTAACTTTCTTTTGACCTTTTTAACCCGCCTCTCAAAATCAACCATAGTAAATTGTGTGAATCCCTAGCATTAGAAAATCGAGGAAGCGGCAGAGAAGAAGAGAAGAGAAGAGAAGGTACGTAAGACATACACATTTTAAAGATCTGAAAAAGCTGCTTCGTTTGCTGGCTATGGATCTTGGAATTGAACGACCAGACATCGGCGGTGCCGAAAATGGAGCTAAATCGACACTGTGTAGCTCATCTTCCTCCGGCCACGTCGCTTCTACCACTGTAAGTAACTCGACAACTCAACCCCCACTTCTTCTTCACTCCTCTCTCATTTCAGCCAAAACAAAGCCTGGACATGGTTGGTTTAGTTGTTTGGATGTTTATGCACTTAAATAAATGTGTTACAAACATCTGCTTTCCTTTTTCTCTATTTGACTGTTTTTTTTTTTGGGTTGTCGTGTAAATTTAGTTACTTTTTAATTGGGTGACTATTTTTATGAACCGATGATATGTAAACATGTGAGAGCATCTATTTGTTTTAATCAGGATTTATTCAGGAGGGCCATACTGGAGTCAGGGCCACCTGAAAATTTTGCTCTCAAGACTGTCCAAGAAGTTATTAAACCTCAGGTAGTTGCTGAACATCCCCACTTCTTCCTCATTGTGGCTCATTGCAACATAAATTAGCTTCTGCCCTTTATATTGCTAAATACAGTGATGCCCTCTAATTAGATTGTCTTAATTTGAGGATAAACTGTGAAACCTTTATATATATCTAAGGAGATCTTTGTTTGTCTTTTGAAAATTCCAATTGACATCTATGAATGAGCTTAATGCATCACTTCATTGGGGTACACACTTCAAATTTCTATCATTCACTGCACTAAATTTTGTAACAAAAGTTGTGTATTTAGTTATAACTTACGACACATTCTCTTACTCCTATTTCCCAACATTTTATATGTGGGTGAATGATTTGGGGATGGTTATCCTTGTTGTCTATACTGAATTACAATCTCTTTGTTTCCTTGAAAGATTGAATAGTACGTGAAAGAGTTTACCCAATTTGCTATGGCAATAAGCCTGTTTACTCTCTTTTCTTGGTGGTAACCTGTGTTTACTCTGGATTAAGAACCATAGTTTACTTCTTCATAATAACCACCCAAAAAAAGAAAAACAAGAAAAAAACAGAGAAGTAAATAAAGGGGGACTTACGTGTATGTCCTACTAGGTGGACTTATTGTCCAATAGGTCCTATAATTAATGTCATTTTTCATTAAACACTATAAAAAACGTCACTATTTGTTAATTTTCGGCGACAATATAAAAATTGTCACAAAAAATGTCACTAACTATAAGTTTTAGTGACAGTTTAAAAAAACATCACAAAAAAATCACTAAGTCACAAATCTATATAATTTCCAAATTGGTGCACACTATTTTTAAATGAACCCCTGCTCCTTTATGTTTGATTTCTTGTGTAGTGCATATTTGAGTTTTAGAGCCAAAGATGTCTTCAGATTATAGCGAACCTATTACTGCTGATGATGCCGAGTTGGATGACGATGTATCTCAAGGACCCACAAAGAGGATTCGAAAACTAACTTCAAAGGTATGGGATGACTTTGTCAAATTTAAAGGACCTAATGGAAATGACATAGCTAGATGTAAGCATTGCAATAGGAAATTTGTTGGAGAGAGTAGGAAAGGGACTAGTCATTTAAAAAATCATTTGTCGAAGACATGTCCAGTACTTAAAGGGCCAAATGCCCCTAGGATTGCTAGTAAGGCTGCTTCTGAATCTACTCCTAAGGCTGCAAATTTTAAATTCGATCAAGAGAGAAGTCGTATGGATTTTTCTAGGATGGTAATCAAGCACAATTATCCTTTTAACATGGTTGAGCATGAATTTTTTGAAATATTTTGTAATAATCTTCAACCAATGTTCAAACTTGTTTCTCGTAACACTGTTAGGGCGGATGTCCTTGATGTTTATGAAATAGAAAAGGCCAAGTTATATCAATTTTTGGATGAACTCTCTTCTAAGATCACCTTGACAACTGATATATGGACTTCAGACCATCAGAATTTTGCCTATACATGTTTGACTGCTCATTATGTGACTAATGATTGGGAGTTGAAGAAGAAAATCCTTGCTTATAGACGCATTGATTACCCGCATGATGGAGACCATTTGTTTAGTTTTATCAAAGATCTAATTTTAGAGTGGAACATAGATAAGAAGTTATTTTCAATGGTAGTCGATAATGCAACGAGTAATGATGTCATGGTGAGACTCTTAAAGCGATGGCTACATGACCAAGGATTACTACATTTGGGTGGACAATTGTTTCATGTGCGTTGTAGCGCGCACATATTGAATTTAGTTGTTCAGGATGGTTTGAAGGTGATTGGGAGTCTTATTTCAAAAATCCGAGAAAGTGTGAGATATTTAGGGAGGTCTCCTTATGGAAAAAATTTTGCTCTCAAGACTGTCCAAGAAATTATTAAACCTCAGGTAGTTGCTGAACATCCCCATTTCTTCCTCATTGTGGCTCGCCGCAACATAAATTAGCTTCTGCCCTTTATATTGCTAAATACAGTGATGGCTATGCTTTTGTATATTATAATTAGAACTAGAATTAGAATGTCTTAATTTGAGGATAAACTTTGAAACCTTTATATATATATATATAAGAAGATCTTTGTTTGTCTTTTGAAAATTCCAATTGACATCTATGAATGAGCTTAATGCATCACTTCATTGGGGTACACTCTTCAAATTTCTATCATTCACTGCACTAAATTTTGTAACAAAAGTTGTGTATTTAGTTATAACTTACGACACATTCTCTTACTCCTATTTCCCAACATTTTATATGTGGGTGAATGATTTGGTGATGGTTATCCTTGTTGTCTATACTAAATTACAATCTCTTTGTTTCCTTGAAAGATTGAATAGTACGTGAAAGAGTTTACCCAATTTGCTATGGCAATAAGCCTGTTTACTCTCTTTGCTTGGTGGTAACCTGTGTTTACTCTGGATTAAGAACCATAGTTTACTTCTTCATAATGACCACCCAAAAAAAGAAAAACAAGAAAAAAATAGAGAAGTAAATAAAGGGCGACTTACGTGTATGTCCTACTAGGTGGACTTATTGTCCAATAGGTCCTATAATTAATGCCATTTTTCATTAAACACTATAAAAAACGTCACTATTTGTTAATTTTCGGTGACAATATAAAAATTGTCACAAAAAATGTCACTAATTATAAGTTTTAGTGACAGTTTAAAAAAACCACAAAAAAATCACTAATTCACAAATTTCAGCGAGAGTTTGAAAAATTTGTCATAGAAAAACGTCACTAATTGTAAGCTTTAGCGTAATTTATAAAAATCGTGACAAAAAAAAGTCGTTAATTGTTAATTTTTAGTGACATGTAAAAAATCGTCATAAAAAAATTATTTTTAGCGATGATTTTACAAAGACTTATTTTCAATAAGACTTGGTGGGAATTAAGTCATATTATTAGGACCTATTGGTAGTTTATCCTAAAATTATAAATTGCTAGAAGCATCATTTTTGAAAACAAATACATGAGGATTTTGTTCCATTTTCTCCCTGATGTGCTGATGATGAATTCCTCTCGTTTATTTAATCAATTAGATCTAACTAGGTCTGTTGTACTTATCTTGACAGAAGCAAACAAAGTTAGTTCAAGATGAGAATCAGTTGTTGGAAAATATTCTACGGACATTACTTCAGGAATTGGTGGTAAGTTGCTAAATTTGATACTTATTGCTTGTGGTTTGTTATATTATGGATCACACACTAATCATATTTTATTTTTTGTCATGGGTGAAAAGATAAAGTCAATGGTCTTTTGACAAGGGTGGGATTCTCTTCAGTGGTGGTGATAAAATACCTTGTTATTAACATTAAAAAATGAAAAGGAAAAATAAAAAGAATTACCATGCCATTTTTTCGCCATATAAGATTTGTATGAGGTATGTCTAGAATAGTCTGGTAGCCAAAATGTCAATTTTCAATTGTCGAGTCATAGTCCTAGTAGAATTTGGAGAACCAGGCAGCACATGCTATAAAAATCTATGCAATTATTTTATTATATGAAGTTGAGTTTTAGAGTGCTTTTGCTTGATGCATGTGGTATAATTGCTTTAGGAGATAATTTTTAAGGAATTCTAGGTGGGATTCCTACAGTTTTTCTCTCAGCTGAAGAACAATTCTGGTTACTATTCACACAGCTGAAGAACAATCCTATTCCTAACCCAGAACCCTAGCCTAATTCTTAGGCACACCTAATACTATCCCCTGCATATTGGTCCTAACCATTTAAACCTTAAATTACTTTGTCTAGCTCTCAGTTAGCCTTCGTTCTGAAAATCCGGCAGCCTTCCGCTTTAAAACCCAGCCAATTTTAGTTTTGATACCCTTCTACATCCCATAGAAACTTCCTATTACATATTATGTAAGAGTGCCCTTACCCTGGCAGCTTTCCAAAACCAAAACACACCACAAGTCCATTTGTGTGCTGTCTTGGCCCAAGTTTCCTAAAACTGTTTACCTCATAAACCTTAGCTCCTTTCAATTCCCAAATCTGTCACAAAATTCAATTGTAGGCAGCACTAGATCAAGTTCCTTATCTGTCTCTTAGATCATCATGTGTCATCATTTCATCCATATATGCACTATAGATAGTTACAATATATGTAGAAACTTCTTCAGGACCCAAACTTCTGGGTGCAGTTTCAGTTATGTTGTAGTTTGGCTGCCGACTTAAATTTGTTTATGCTGCTTTCATCAATACATTAAATTTCCACTGCTAAAACTTGCATGGCTAGTTTATATGTTTGGTTTTTCTGTATTGAATTGAATATCTGTAGTGGCAAACTACGTACAGATTATGACGTTTATTCTTTTGGGTCTTTTTTGGAACTGAGAAAAAATAGAAGGGAGGATACTCAGATCTGTCTCTCATGCCATGCATGTGCACATACATTCTTTAGATGCACAGAAAACAACTCTCGAGAAACGTTTGTCATTTTCACATGACACTAATTACTAGTGTCTATTCTGTTGGGTCTAATAATTAACATGTGCTTGAATTTTTGTGCAGTCAGCTGCAGTTCAGTCAGGGGAGAAAATTATGGAATATGGGCAACTGATTGTTGATGGGGAAGTGACTCAGGGTCAAATTCCCCGCCTTCTTGGTATGTTCATGCTTTCACTAGCTATTAATTTTGATTAAGCATTTTGTGTTCTGTTTCCATGTTTCTTTATGCCACTCTTATGAATAAATATCACACTTTCTAAAAGGGAAGTCTCTGGGGACCAGAGGTAACCCTTGTTTGTGCAAACTCAAGATTTACTATTAGAGTCTTTTTGGCTGACAGGGAGCATCTGACCTACAGTCTTCCAGTTAGACATTTTTAGCTTCCTGACATATTAAATTCCTCATATTCAAGCATAGGGCAAAAGACAAGTTTTGTCCTCAAGTTTGAGGACTTTGGATACAAATTGTTGGTAAGAATAGATGTTGTTGTTGTTGTGTTTTTTTTTTTTTGGGTTGGGGGGGGGGGGACTACTAAAGTGGGGGATCAATAAATGAAAAGAGAATGACGTATAAAGATCAAGGTAGGCAATAAATCCTCTATGGAAAAAAGAAATATAAAGACAATTACTAGTCGCATATAGCCCGAAAGGAGAAGACACTGAAGCCCAGAGGAAAGACAAATTACAAATTTTGTTCCACAACCCTCCAATCTCTTTTAGGTGTGTTCTAAATAACTTGTATTTCTTTCCGACCAAATACCCCAAAACATAGCACAAAATACACAACTCCAAAGTACTTGAGGCTTCTTATTGGATGCAAACTCTGTATAATAAATCATAAACATCTAAACACAAGAAGCCGGAGCCACCCAATCCATCTTCTACCGACTGAAACAACGTGTGCCATAAGGCCAGAACTATAGGGCAATGCAAGAATGAATGACCAATAGTTTGGATAACAAGCATCCCCGAGTATCCTTGAAACTTCAACTTTCCACTCTTTAGACTCTTTGACTTGTTTGCTACGTTCCTCTATATTCTCCTTTGTAGCAACCTAAGAAGTATGGATACAGACACGTGATACGACATAGACACGCCAACATGTGAATTTTCAAAAAATGCAGGACACGACACGTGGAGGACATGCATGAAATACATAATTTTATATATTTGTTATATGTTATATATATAAATATATCACTCAAAGATAATAAAAAAATATAATATGACACTAATTCTTATAAATTTATATGGGTTTTGTTTTATTATTATATCTTAAGTTGTTTTGTTCAAATTTATAATTAGTTTCACATATGTCTAATCAATAGGCACCTATGTTTATGTGATTGACACGTGTGTATTCTAAGTGCCCAAATAGTGTCCGGGTCTTTCAAAAAATTTAAAAAATAAGACACATTTTGAAAAGTGTCGGACATGTGTCTTAAGAGTGTCCAAAGAGTGTCGGTGTCCGACACGGACATGACACGGATCCGTCACTTTCTGAGAAGTGTCCGTGCTTCTTAAGTAGCAAGAAAGATAGAGGAAGAGTCATTGGTGGCCACTTTGTGCCACTTTCCTCTTCATGGGCAACAAGGTGTATTGGTGGACACATTGATAATGATGTATTTATACGCTCTATGTTACATGGATTCGGGTGTGAGTGTGTCTATTTAGGGGTCGGACACATCAGACTTCTAAATGAAGGATATGCGAACTTGACTAAAAATTATAAAAAAATTCAATACAGGTACTTGGATATGGCAAAAAGTATCAAAAAACAGGAGTAGTCTCTTCCTACTATGATTTTCTTCCCTTTTTGTTTTCCTCCTCTTTTTTGCTTTAGAATTTTAGTTTGGGTTGGCCAAAAATTGGTTGGTTAGTTTGGTTATATGGAGAATGGGTTGGTTGGGTTATATTTACATTAGTAACAACTCTGCCCCAACTAAAAGTTTCATTGTGGCCCAAAAACATTTATAAAGTTTCGCGAAGCCCGTGGTGATTGACAAAAAAAGGCAAGACTAAAAATAAAATAAAATAAGAAAAAGAGGAAAATGAAAGACGGGGGAAATTTGAACACCCATTTATACAGTGCCACGTAGCAAGATAAAATCTTTGACCTTGAAAAGTACTCTCACGCTCCCTATCTCATTCTTTGCGTTTCTCGCCTTCAGCAAATAGCATATCTCCTTCTCTTTCTCTTTTACTCTCTGTGTGTCTCGCTGTTGGTGATACCAGACAACTTAACTATAGTTCTTCATCTTCTTCGATTCATCTCAATTTGCATCTCTTCTACCTCAATCTGCATATTTTCTTCTTGATTTGCCTCGATTTGCCTTTGTCTGTGTGTTGTCTTCATCGATTACTTTGAATTGCTGTATCCTTGTGCAAAGTGTTGTGTTCGGGCTGTATTCTGCACCTGTGTCGGTGTTGTGTGAAGCGAAGTCCCACATTGCCTGAGTATTAAAGTAATATAAGCATATAAGCAAGAGGGCACCCTCACCTTAATAGCTAGCTTTTGGGGTGAGTTCTATCCAAGACTGTGTAACATGGTATCAGAGCCAGAGTATTAAGGGATGGGTAGGGTGCATGTCCCTGGCTTGCACGTTGCAGGTGCTACCGAGTGAGCACGCTGGGTGTGAGGGAGGGTGTGAAGTGAATCCCCACATCGCTTGAATATTAAAGTAATATTAAGTATATAAGTATGAGGGCATCCTCACCTTAATAGCTAGCTTTAGGGGTGAGTTCTACCCAAGACCGTGTAACAGTGTTGACATTGATATTTTCTGAAAAACGGCAAGTTTGTGTAACGCTGGGTATTCCTCTTGCCATCATGTGTGGTTTGTCTGTCATATTGCCATGGTCGGCCAAGTAAAATATGACAAACATCTATAGGCATGATATGACACCACACTTCAACGAACTTCTTACGAATGGAGAAGCTTACCAAACACCTCTTAGATACGTTGATTTCACGGCCTTCATTAAACCAAGAGAGTTTGTAAGGTTGAGGATGATATGATCTTCCACTTTAAGCTTCAACTTGTCAATCACCTCTTGAGAATCCACATTTGACCATTTTTTTCATCAATGATCATGTTACAAACTCTTTAATCAATGTTTCAAGTGGTATATGTAGAAAACATTATTCTTCGACCAATCTTTCTCATTTCTTGGCTTAGGCACGAAAAAATTCCTCTTCATCATAAGAGCTAGGCCTTCCTCTTCAACCAAGTTTCCTCCAATTTCCTCACTTATATGTTGATCAAAGATAGCATCATCCTCACAATCTTGCCCTATTGATCCTCCCATAAGAAGTGCCTTGTTACGGTGTCCCATCATCTTTTGGCAATTTGAAGACTTAAAACCCAATTCTCTGCATTTAAAGAACTTAAAGTTTCCACCTTGAGGTGGGTTATGGCTCCCGGAAATGCCATTGGTACAGGAAGCTTGAGGCGGAACAGCCCTATCCACACCCTCGATAGGAGGACTAGCCTTGGCAAAGCAAGGAGTGGAAGGTCCCAGCCTAAATTCACCTTGGAAACTACCTTGAGAGTATGTTTGATACGCACTACGGCTTTGTTGCTTCTCAACCGCTAAAGCTCTATTGTAAGCTTCAAAACGGATCACAATGAGTGTGAGACAGGAATATCTTGAACAGTGGACTTCAATCCGCTCACATTTCTTGCCACTATTTGATCTTCCCTTTCATTGAAGTCAACTCTAGTAATGGGTTGGAAAAGGTCTCTGTGTAATCTTCAACACTTTCAATTTGTTAGAGATCATGAAGATTCTTGTACAGTTTGAAGGTAATTTATTGGCAAAAAGTGATTTTTTAACTTCTTGTTCATCTTTTCCCAATCTTGGTTTTTTCCCTTTCCACAGCGTAGCTGACTAATTTGACGTTGTTCCTACCAAGCGGAAGCCCTTCCTTTTAGCCAGATTGCCCCTAACTTGACGTTCTTGTCATTAGAAACGTCTCCATACTCAAATACTTGTTCGATAGTATTGAGCCAATCAATGAAATCATCTGGGTTGAGGCTTCCATAGAATTTGAGAAGCTCAATCTTGAGTTATTCACCAACTTGTACTTAGAACGTTTCAAATCTGCTTGACACCTATGTGGAGCACCAAAAGGATTCTCAAAGGAATGTATAGTTTCTTCGGTATCATCGGACGTGTCACTACCATTTGTAGGAGCTTGAAATCGTTGCACCATCTCGGTCAACGTTGCAAGTTGTCGTCTCAACTCAGAAATTTCATCTCTTTGACAAGGATTCCATTATTCCTTTTAAATTGACTATCCATCTCGGTTTCATCCTCCAAATTCGCAGCAAATGCTTGATCCCGACCTCCCTTTCGACCTCTTCCTCTTTGAGCCATATATCATAATTACCAAAACACACACTTCAATGAGCACTCTTCAACAAACACACTTTAAGAATTCGAATGAACTGATACAGAACTCAAATCAAAGCAACAGACAAGTCGTCAGCAAATAGAGACTTCGGCACAGGTTGATACTCAGAAGGTTCCCAAACCAAAACTCATATGCCCAGGTCAGATTCAATATCCAGAATCGAAACATGAAAACCAAATGCAATTTGTGGAATAAGATCCAGATCGCAGATCCAAATCGTGGCAAAGTCAAGATTGAAAATGAACTCAATTGAAGATGAACTCAGTCAAGTCCCAGATCAAATTTCGGATCAGTCTCAGACCATATCTCAGACCAAATTTGAACGAAATTGAATCACAGATAGTCAAGATACTGAAATGATTGATCGAAATTCAAAGATCTCACTTGTTCAAACCACTTCAGCTAGGGTTTGAGTTCCAGATCTCACTGAATGAAAGTCGATCACAAAGTCACAAACTAAAGTTGAAGTCATACTTTGGTACAGCTAAAGCTTCAATTTGAAGTATAGGTTACGTGTGTCATGTCTCCATTAGTACAATTTGTAACATCCAAAAACTGAAGATTCATAAAAGCAGCATATGATGAAGATGCAAAGAGGATCATCACACAACCTGAATCAAAAAATCAAGTTGACATTTTGAAATCAAAGTCGAAGTCCAATGCGATTGACAATCCTTATATGAAATCATAATCAAGATCGAGCTGGAAAGGTACAATTTGTTTTTCGAGATTTGACACCTAGGGTTTCAGACACCAGTTCTGCTGCGAGTTAGGGTTCCAAAATCAGGTTCAAACTCTCCTTTCAATGCATGTAATTGATGAATCAACTCAAATCTAGAAGAATAGGACCTAATTCCTAAGTTCTGATACCAAAATTGTTGTCAATAGGCATATGATGCCTAGTAACAAAAGTTATCAAAAGAATATGATTCCTAGTTGTGGTATGACTGTGATTGGATTAAACTCAATTCTTTGTAAATTTGAAACTATTGAAATTCTGAATCCAATTGGTCTATAGATGTTTGTTATATCTTGGTGATTTATATTAGGTGATGCATCTGTTGTTAAGTTGGAAAGATAAAGGTCTTATATCGTAACATGGTGAAATGAGTATTGCACTCCAAAACTGGACATATTGGGGAGGTAGGTAGTTGGATTGATGTGCTGTGGAATAAAGGGCTGGGGAAGAATTTGGAAATAGTGGGATCTGTCAATAAAACCTCATAGAAGTCGTGACAAACATGTAATCTTTATGATAAACTGAGGTCAAAGATTCTCTATGATAAACTGAGGTAGAATTTCTTTTATATATATATATATATTCTTCTTGCAAATATAAAGAAATTGAGAAAACTGAAAAGTGCGTGTAAATTTAGTACATAAATTTTAAGAAATGTTGTAACAATATTTTTAGAATAGAATATGTGAACACGTCTATCAAATTGGGCACCCCAGCCAGATCCATCCAGTGCAGGTTCTTGAAGAAATTTCAAAATGTGCTGTCAAGTATGATGTTATTTGGTAGAACACAATCTAAGAAGCACAAACACAGTATAGACACGACATGGACATGCCGACACAAAAATTTTCAAATAATGTAGGACACGACACGTGGGAACATGTGCAAAATATATAATTTTATATATTTATTATATATAATAATACATAAAGGCAAATAATTATATGTCATATATATGAATATTTAAACAGGTAATAATTTTCAAAATCTAAAAGATGAGAATACATATAATTTTTTTTTTGGGTTTGTTTTATCATTGAATTCCAAGTTATTTTATTCAAAGTTGTAATGTGTTTTATGTGTGTAAGTGTTGAGAAGTGTTCAACAAGTGTCATGTCGGTATCAGACACGTTGCCTTCTTAGAAGTGTTCATGGTTAGACCACAATTTACTTTCTAGCATTCAATTGATTAAAATGGAAGAACTTATTCGTATAAAATTCTTAGGGTGTTCAAAATTTTGTCATTACAATCCGTCAATGAAATTGTCCTTACGTACATTGTATGGAATTCGGTCAGTAAAAGAATTCTAAAATATTTTTGTCTTTGATTTTCTCAACTAATTGTGGGACTGTTCTCCGACAAAAGCATGATTCTTTTGGCCATTAGGGCTTACTTTTCAAGTTTGAAATAATTAACACTTAAACAAAAAGAGTTCTATTTGAAGTAATAGAAGTACTCAGTTGAAAATGAAAGATATTTTTAACAAATGTTTGTTTTTACTAATTGTAATATGCCTAATTTGCTTTGTAGTTTTTATTTTTCTTCATTGATTGCACACAATAGTTCTTGTTCTTTTTGAAAGTTATGATAAGAAAATTACATCTCTCTCTCTCTCTCTCCCCCCTTTCTTTTTTCTTTTGTAGACATTGTACTGTATCTTTGTGAGAAAGAACATGTTGAAGCTGGTATGATCTTCCAGCTATTGGAAGATTTGACTGAAATGTCTACAATGAGAAATTGCAAAGATATCTTCGGATATATAGAGAGTAAACAAGACATATTGGGAAAGGTATGAAATATTTGGATCATTCTTGTTTTCACTCCCTTGGTACTTTATTCTAGGTTCTAGTTATTATTTATTTGTTTGATTTTTTTATTTTCTCACTTTTTAGAAGTGTAATTTTATACCATGAGTTGTCTACTCCTGATAACAATTATTCTTATTCTTTTACTACGTGGTTGCATATGATAGCCGGAATTGTTTGCACGAGGCAAACTTGTGATGTTGAGGACATGCAATCAACTTCTCCGTCGTTTATCAAAGGTATAATCTAATTGAGGTTCTCTATTTTTTCAATATTTTCCTTTTAGTTAGTAATTTATGGCAATATTGTAAGATTTCTGAAGAATCTGTATATTCAATTGTGTATTAATACGATGTGTACATTTGATATATATAGCATTTCTAGGCCTAATCCTAAATAGGAAACAAGAATAAAACTAAACTAAAATATTCACACAATTTAATCAATCTAAAATATTTACACAATTATATATACTAATATTATTTTCACACCTCTACTCAAACTCAAGGTGTTTTAGTAGAAAATATTGAGAGTTTGCCAAGAAGAAACTAAAACTGAGCAGTGGTGTGTGTCCTGGTAAAGAAGTCAGCAAGTTGCAGAGTCAAAGAGACGAAAGGAAGTGAGATAGAGCTAGACTGCAGATTTTGACAGTCAAAGTGACAATCAATCTCAATACGCTTTGTCCGTTTATGGAAGACTATGTCATGGGCAATTTGAATAGCACTTTGGTTGCCACAGTAGAGAGAGGTCAGAGAGGACTTAGGGATGCCCAAGTCAGATAGGAGACAACGAAGCCATATAACTTTAGCAGTAACATGAGTTATAGCACGGTATTTAGCTTCGGTAGTAGAATGGGAAAGAACAGTTTGTTTCTTGCTTTTCCACGATATCAAGGAATCGCCAAGAAACAACAGAAACCAGAAGTGGACTTACGATTATTAACATTACCAGTCCAATTAGCATTAACATAGGCCACCAAATCCATGGAAGAAGTAGAAGACAACAGCAAGTCCTGAAAGATAATACTGCGAAGATAGCAAACAATCCGAATCAAAGTAGCCTAATGTGTAGATCGAGGAATAGAAACGAACTGACCAACTACATGAATAATACAGGCGAGATCAGGGTGAATAACTGTTAGATAGACTAAGTAACCCACAAGCTCTTGATATAAAGTAGGATCATCTAGAGGGACATCATTAGTTGTGTTGAGCTTCACATTTAGCTCAGTGGAGGTTTCAGTAAGATTGGTACGGTGAATAACCTCATTAGCATACTTGGTTTGAGATAAAAAGTAGCCCTTAGGAGAAAAAGACACCTCAATACCAAGAAAATATCACAATGGGTCTAAATCCTTCATTTTGAGGGTGTGGAAGAGATGCTACTTGACCGAAGAGATAGCAGAAGAGTTAGAACCAATGATGATCATATCACCCACATACAGTAATTAGGCAACAAATCTAGCAGAGGTGTGGAAAAGAAACAAAATAGAGTCCTAGGCACAATGATGAAACCCAAGCACAGTGACAGCAGTCTGAAAGCGATCATACCAAGCACGAGGAGATTGTTTCAAACTATATAAAGTACGCCGAAGACGACAAACTTGTCCAGAGGAATGGTGAAGGTCAGGGGGATATGTAAACCTCCTCAGTGAGATGGCCATTAAGGAAAGCATTCTTAACATTTATTTGATAAAGAGGCCAATGACGAACAACAGCAACAAAGATCAAAGTATGGACAGTAGTCATCTTGGTAACAGGGACAACGGTCTCCTCATAATCAATACCATACTCTTGTGAGCAACCTTTGGCAACTAGATGAGCTTTGTAGCACTTAGGAAAACCATCAGAATGAGTCTTGACTTTGTAGATCCATTTGCAACCAACCAGATTCTTACAAACTAGCAAAGGAACTAACTCTTAAGTACTAGTTTTCTGCAAAGCAGACACCTCATCCTCCATAACTTGAATCTAATGAGGATCTTGACAGGCCTCCTTGTAAGACTGAGATTCTCAAAAAGAGTGAATAGTAGACAAAACCTACAGTATGAAGGAGAAAAACATGTTTTAGCAAAACCAAGGTTGATTATCTGTTTACGGATGCGAAGGGGATGCTTACGGTTAATATGATCAGAGTTGTCAAAGGCAGAAGGATCGGTAGCAGGGGTAGAGACAATTGATGGAGGGATAGCCTTGCAACGAGAATAGACTAACAATGGAGGAGGAGGAGGAGCAGGAGAAGGAGGAGGAGGAGAGGGGGGAACTGATTTATGGGTGGTACGAGGAGAAGAAGGGACAAGGTCATGAGGAACAACAAAGATGTACTCATTATGAGAGACCTTAGAAGGAAATGGATTAATATAAACCAAATCTATTTTGGAAACTGGGGTTGTGAGAAGAGGAAGTTGAAAATAAGGTAGATGTCGAGAAAGGTAACATGGTGGGAGACATAAAGGCGATTGGAAATAGGGGTTATAACAGCGATAACGTTTCTAAGTGAGACTGTAACACAAAAAGACATACATGACAGATCAGGCACTAAGTTTGGTCCTATCTTTACGGGGTAAAAGGACAACAAGTAGACCCAAACACATGGAGGGAGTAATTGGAAAGTTGAGAAAACAAAGCCTCATAAGGAGACCGACTAGAGAGAATGGGAGTAGGCATATGGTTAAGAAGAAAAACAGTAGTAAGAACTGTCTTTTCCCAAAACGGAGCCGGAACAGAGACAGAGAGAAGGAGAAACCTAGCTGTCTTAAGAAAATGATGGTGTTTACGTTGAGCTCGACCATTTTGGGTAGGTGTATCAGTACAGGAAGTTTGGTGAATGGTACCCAAATTGGCCAAATACTCACAGAACTCAGTTTTAAAATATTCCCCTCCCAAGTCAGACCGTAACAATTTAATAGCAGACCTAAACTGTGTAGTGACCATAGACTGAAAAATACGGTATATCTGGCAGAAGTTAGACTCATGAGTCATAAGATAAACTCAAATGTAACCGGTGCAATCATCAACAAATAAAACATAGTATGCAAAACCTCCTTTAGTGAGAATAGGAGACGAACTCCAGACATTAGTATGAACTAAAGAAAATAGTGTATCAAATATAGAAGTACTTTTATGGAAAGGTAAGGCTATCATTTTGGCAAGTTTACACCTACGGCACTAGGTAACTTGACTAGGAGAAACTTTACCAAAATATACCTGACTGAACTAAAGATCGTAAGCAATCAGCAGAAAAATACCCTAATCTGGAATGCCACAAATAAAAAGGACTTGACAGAGAATCTAATTAAAAAGAGGAAAAGGCAGTCGGAGAGGTAGTCATATGCAGATGCAAGCTCTCCACCACATAGAGGTCTCCAACTCTACAGTCAGTCCCAATCTGTTGCTTGGACATCCGATCTTGCACAGAACAGATAGAAGAAGAGAAGATAACATGAAAACTGCAGTCATGAAGCTGACTGATAGATAACTAAGGAACATATAAGATAGATGGAATAGAGACGGTAGACATAGCAGACGGTAGGATAGAACCAATAGGTATAACAAACATACCAGACCCATTAGCAACATTAACAGTAATAGGGAAAGGAGGGGGATTACAATTCTGGAGTAAGAAGAGATGAGGAGTCATATGATGAGAGGCACTAGAGTAAAAAATCTAGATAGACGAAGAGATACTTGAAGAAGACCCAAACAAACTTGAATGAAGAGAGGAAACAACTGAGGTAGACGGCAGGGCTGGGAGGTAGATAGTATATGCTAAAGTTGACTAATCTAAGCACTCAAAGAAGCCAAGTCAGGATCAAGAGACGGAGTAGATGCAGTAGAGTCGGTGGGAGGCCGAAAAGTACTAAGAGGAGGAGCTCGGAACTGGGGCTGAGGCTGCTGAGAAGACGAGGCAGGCAAACGTCCTTTCTTGGGACAGTGATTTTTTTTTTGTTTGTTGATAAATCCCTTCTTAGGATAGTGATACTCCCAATGGCCCTTTTGATGACATAAAGGACACTCATCTGAAGCTAGTAGCCTATTTTCAGGCCTAGCAATTTGATCCTTTGACATTGTAATAAACCAGAAAAGTAGAAGAGAACTGATGGACAAAGTATAATAAATAGCCTATTTTCAGGCCTAGCAATCTGATCCGTTGACATTGTAATAAACCAGAAAAGTAGAAGAGAACTGATGGACAAAGTATAATAAATAGAAAATTGAGGGACTTTGGTGTAAAAAACTAGAAAATAGGGTTGTAAGTGTAAATCCCCAAGCAAAACCTGAGTCAGAACTGAGAACCACAACCAATACTGAGAACCAGACGGAAAGAGAGAGACCGAAGCTGAAGTCTAAAGTCGAAGTTGAAAAAGGGAGAACAAGATAGAGACCTCTTCGATCGTGCAAACTAGAGTTAGAGGAGATTACAAATGTGAGTCTGGTGAGAGGAGAAGATTGCGATTATGATCGAAGCCTCAAAGAGAGAAGTCGCGATTGATTCCTCAGAGAAAGAGAGGTCGCGAGAGCAGATGGACTGATTAGCCAGACGAAGCAGGAGAACCAGAGGGTTGCGATGATGGGTTACAACGATGCAGCAGATAGGTCACAAAGATGGGGCACGATTTGAACTAGATGAGTTGTGAATTAAAATAGATAGGTTGCACATCAAAGGAGCAGACGATGAACTTAGTGAGGACTAGAGAACCGATTAAGTCCACAGAACAGAACCAAAGAATCGAACCAGAGAATCAATCATGATTGCTGCTAGGGTTTCACACATGGCTTTGATACTATGTAATATTTCTAAAGAATCTGTATATTCAATTGTGTATCAATACAATGTGCACATCTTATATATATAGCAATTCTAGGCCTAATCCTAAATAGGAAACGAGAATAAAACTAAACCAAAATATTCACATAATCTAATCAATCTAAAATATTCACATAATAATATATACTAATATTATTCTCACAAATATAACTGTAATTTGTTAGAACTTTTTTAACTATAGGAACTTGTTGAGCTTATTTGGACAATTTGAAACATGCTTCCGGGGGGGGGGGGGGGGGGGGGTTGTTGAAACACATGCCAATGTGGGACATCATTAGAAAATTTGGGGGAATGCTGCCTATATTAGTTTCATGGTGGGTTTAAGTTGATGGTGGACCGTAGTTAAGTTTTAATAAGATAAAAGAAAGGATCTTGAGTCTATGAGCCAAAAGGGATGAAATTGGCATGAATTTTCAGTCACAGTTGCTGGATTTGTTAAAAGTTGGTGCCTTGAAAACTTTGGTTGGGAAGTATTTTTATTGTTTATAAAGTAAGTAGTTGTTTTTAGATTAAGTGGCATCGCTTGACAACCGCAAAGGGATGGTACATTGTTGAAGCCCAAGTTAGGATGTTCTTGTCTATGTTTTACTTACCAAAGTTAAAAAAAATGGAAGTAATTGTTAGTGCAAATATGTTAGCTTTTGTTTTTTAAATGTAGATTTTATAATATGTGATCACACTTTCTCAGAACCCCAATAATATGGTTAGACATGTAAAAAATAAGGAGTAGCTTGTTTATTTTGGTGGTTTGTGACATGGGATGAGGGCACTTTAAGTTGGCATGAAGATTCTATTTATTTTGTTATTTTATATTTACATTTATTTATTTTTATTTTTATTTATAATTTAATTAATTTCTTATTTAAGGAGGGATTGAGTTTCCAATAATATTAGAATTTAGTTTCTCATGTGCAAAATGGTTTTATCGAACGAGGAGCTTCTTATTGGACCACCAGCAACCAATTCCCTTGATCAAGTTAGATTAAGTTGATTTCCTCGGTGTTGATACTTTCATTTGGATTGTCAAGCCATATATGGTAGACCATATCAGCAACTTGAAGACCAAGACAATTGGAACTACAGAGGAGCTTCAATTGTAGAAAAAAAATAGTGAGCCAACATATTTGAAGTACTTGATTTGGTGGTATGGAATAGTTCAATATTTTAGAGCGAACTAGGGGGCGAGCTCTTTTTATCAGTCGGTGAGAATGACGCGGAACGTGGACACACCAAGTTGGCATCAGGATCTATTTATATTGAGATTAAGGCTGTGGCACTATTCTTTTTCTTCTTCCCTACAATGTTCTACATTAGTTTGACTGACCCGAATTTGTTATTTGTATATCTGTATAAAATTTTCTTTTTTGAAGTTCTAGAGAGGGACACTCGGAGAGACAATTGCATGCATTTTATTTATTTTCTTCTAATTTTATATTTATATTTATAGTTTAATTAAGATTATAGTGATATTTAGTTTCTTATTTAACTAGGGATTAAGTTTCCAATAATATTAGGATTTAGTTTTCTAGTTTGAATTAGGTTTTAACCCTTTAAGTACTAGGTCTTTGCATTGTAATAGTTAGCTTGGATGATTGATATTGAGATTAAGGCTGTGGCACTATTCTTTTTCTTCTTCGCTACAATGTTCTACATTAGTTTGACTGACCCGAATTTGTTATTTGTATATCTGTATAAAATTTTCTTTTTTGAAGTTCTAGAGAGGGACACTCGGAGAGACAATTGCATGCATTTTATTTATTTTCTTCTAACACACAGGGTGTCATTGTTTTTGGTGACTTTTCATATCAATTTTAAAATTACGATAAGTGTAATTTGAGGAGTTGTGAAATTTTCACCATTGCTATTAATGCTTTCAAAGCTGAATTTGTAGGCAAATGATGTTGTGTTTTGTGGACGAATTATAATGTTCCTTGCTCATTTTTTCCCATTATCAGAACGTTCAGGTATTTGTTATCATTAGTCATTCTGTTGTCGCTCTCTTCCCTGTTTCCCTCTCTCTTGTAGCTATGTTAATTTTGTCTTTTGTCAATGCTTGCAGCTGTCAATATCAAGGGAGTTTTCAACACATCAAATGAGACAAAATATGAGAAAGAGGCTCCTGAAGGTAACCTTGACCTACTTGCTCTCTCTCTCTCTCTCTCACACACACACACACACACACACACACACACAGAGAGGTTTGACATCTTTCTACGCTGTATTGCTAATTTGGAGCAAATAGCATTTGTGTTGAAGCTATACTGAATTACTTCTACCTCCCCCTCCCCAAACAGGCATTTCTATTGATTTCAACTTCTACAAAACGTTTTGGAGTTTACAGGTGAGTATATCATGTATGTTGGAGCCGTATTTGAAAGAGAGCGATTTTGTCTACCTAACATAGTCTTGGAATCCTATGTGACCAATGTGGCATTATTTACATATTTTTTTCCCCAAAGTTATACTAGGAGCTTCTTGCGGTTAATAAATATAAGAACTTTGAGTAAGCTGATGAATTTCACTAAGCTTGCTTATGAGAAAGTCGTTATGAGATGCTACACTGATATAAATTGGTTATGATTGTGATTTATTCTTAGACATTTCATATGCATTATTGCTATCTAGAACAACTTATATTACCATTCTCGCTTTTAAAATATTCTTATTACTGTAACTCTTTTTTCCCCCTTTTGATGATTTTTTTTTGGCTGGGCTTCAGGAACATTTTTGTAATCCTGCTTCCTTAACTCTCGCTCCAACAAAGTGGCAGAAGTTTACTTCCAGTTTAATGGTGCATCTATTCTGTGCCTCTAATCTTTTCATTTTGCCTTTACCTGTATTGAACTTAAGAGTAATTCTGTCAAAACTTAAGTAAAAATGATTTTGTTGAACATTGGGATCTTTAGGTTGTGTTGAATACCTTTGATGCACAGCCTTTAAGTGATGAAGAGGGTAATGCTAATAATCTTGAGGATGAGGCAGCAACCTTCGGCATAAAGTATCTCACCAGCAGCAAACTGATGGGTCTAGAGGTAAGGAGTATTACCAAGTTTTAACGTCTTCTGTAATAGATTCAATTTGTTTTGCAGTAATGAGTTTTGATTCTGTTAATTTATTTTTATTTTTGTTTTTGTTCCTCTCCCCTTTTATTCTACCTCAGTTAAAAGATCCAAGTTTTCGACGCCATGTCCTTGTCCAATGCCTTATTTTGTTTGATTATCTGAAGGTAATACTTTCATATTTAGTATACTTACTATCTTCGATGTGCTGGTCATTGTGCGAGTGTGACACACATTGACTATCATGGTTACTTTGTTATGTTCTAGATGTGAAGCCAAATTGTAACTACTCTGTCTATCTGCTAGTAGCTTGCATAAGCCATTGTTGCACAGTGGTAAAGTGCTGCTTTAACATGTAAATGAAGGGCCGGGTTTATTGTTTTTTATTTTTTTTCCATTATTGCTTATCAATAAAAATTGTGTCCAAGAGTGTGTGGGTTTGGGGCGTTAGTAGGGGAAAAAAATTCTATTTACCTTGGACATGGTGAATGCTTGCATTATGGTTTAAAGTCAAGGTGAATATTTCCTTATCGGTTGCATACTTCTTGAAACTTTCTTAAATTTCATGATTAATTTTAAGGTGTCCAATGTAAAAGGGAAATTGCACTTCTAATTTTTTCGACTGATTCTTTGGGTGCAAACTTTCTAATATAATACACTGGTTGCATACTTCTTGGAACTTTCTTAAATTTCATGATTAATTTTAGGGTGCCCGAAGTAAAAGTGAACTTGGACTTCCAATTATTTCAATTGATGATTTGGGTGCAAACTTTCTACTATAATGCCCCCATTAATGCAGTCCTGCCAATCACATTTGTAACAGAGAATGATAGCATGCTTTAGAAATCCTATCATTAGATGGTTTCTTTCAAAACACTCTTTTAAGTCTAAATGAAATTACAAATTTTTAAGGCTGTTAGGAGGGTAACTCTTAGGATTTGGGGGTTAGGGTAGTTCTGTGGGCTTCACATGTTTTTTCACTACCATGGGATTGTTGTGATTTGTTTGGTTAAAATGAGATAAAGAATGTGATAAAATTTGGAGGATTATTGTGGGCCATTGGATGGAGGGGGGAAGATAGTACTGAGAGGGGATTATCTATCGGGTCCTGACTAATAATACCCATCTAAACAAATGAGGCATTATTAATTCTGTGGGGGAAATTTCTGACATGTGGGCCCTTATGTTTTCCCAAGTCCCATCCCTCCAAACAAAGAGCTCCGGGAATGGTGAAGAAGTAGAAGAGCTCATGTGAGCCCTACAGATGGTCCAGTGGATCTGGCTGTATGTGTAAAAGTTTAAATGATTTTTTAATGAGAACCCAAATGATTCTAAATCAATTGGAATTGGAAAGGGTGTTTCAGAAATTTTATAGTATGAGGGCATTTTAGTTAGTTTATCATTGTTTAGTGTCCAGGATGCTAAGTTGTTTAGTTAACGATTCTGGTAGTCTTTTATTTGTTTGGAATTAGTTGACTTCAATTATTTTAGAAATTCTATGTCTACTAGGGAGCTATATGTAGTACAAAAGTGTCTCTACATCTATAGCAGGGGTAATTCTATTCGCACACTATACTTTATCTCAGTACACACCATTTATGTCGTTCGGATATCAACTTCTGAACAAAAACAAAATGTTCGAATATCAACTTCTGAACAAAAACTAATTATTCGAAGAAAAACCCCGTTCAATAGTTGATACTTGACATTTGTATTTTGTTCGGAAGTAGATATATGAACATTTGTATTTTGTTCGGAAGTTGATATCCGAACGCACAAATAGTGTGTACTGAGACAAAGTGCGGTGTACAAATAGAATCACCCAGCATGCCCTGCGTATGCTCTTGTTTAATAGTGAGAATTGATTGAGTTTTTTTAATTTTTATTCTTAGGCTGAGACTCCTAGAAATTTCAACTTCTTTTTCTTCTTCTGCCTTTGATTTCAAGTGCTGCTGTGCATTTTAGCCAGACCCACCCTTATTGTATGTTTAATACATTCCAAAAATTGTCTTCCTTTGATCGCAAACCCTAGCTTATTTATATCCTTTTTATCTAGCTTCAATGCTGATGTCACTTTGCTGCCCAGAAATTCCAGCAAGCTGTTTCTTTCAATTGTATTAAACTTATACTCAACCTGAAGTATTTCAATCCCAATTTTTTGTTAAACCATAATCGTACTTTTTGTTCAAATCCTTAAAATTATTGTCCACCATATCTGATTGTTGGACAGTTTTTATTTTATTTTATTTTTATCAACATAAAAAAACAAAAAAATCAAAGTGGGGATAAGGAGTCCTCATAAAAAAAACTAGACTACTCTAATCAAGACGAAGAACAAACTTATATGTCTCAAATAGCTTTCCAATCTCTAGAAATCAAAAAAAGAGGTGTCCCTCTAAATGAAGTCGAAACAGAGTCCCACAACGTTGCCAAGAGACGCACTATCCCACGACGACGTATCATCAAACTTGTCTTCAAAGATCCTTGCATTCATTTTTATCCATATAACCCAAAACATTGCAAAAAATGATACAACACCACAGCACTTTTGCTCTCTTTTTACCCCCAAAACCTTGGAAATCAATTAATATCATTTGCACACACATGCCTGGTGCCACCCAAGGGATATCAATCAAGTGAAATAGGCGATGCCAAAGATCCTAAGCCACCTGACAGTGAAGGAATAAGTGATCCAAAGATTCGTCACTCCTACACATTATGCACCATTGAGGGTGGAGAAAGCAATGAGGTCTCCTCTTTTGAAAAATGTGTTGGTCATGATCTTCCCGTGAGCCAAAGACCACATAATAATTCTTACCTTAAGAGGCACTACTACTTTTTGAATTCTCTTGACATTTGGCTTATGAATGAGGAGACTGTAATAAGCTGACTTATGTTGCAAACTATTCCATAATGCATTGCCTATTATCAGGGACGGAACTAGGATTTCATCATTGGAGGGGCCAAAAGACGAATAATTTTTTTCACCATATACACAAACACACATGTATGTACAATATGATAATCTTTCGTCCCTGCCTATAATAAGCAGACTTATGTTACAAACTAAAAAAATTAGGCTTTAAAAGGAACTATTCCGGTTGACCATTCAGGTTTTTGTTGCCCTTTATTGTGTTTATTTATTAAAGGTCTTGATCAGAGCCTTAAGTTAGTAGTAGTTTGGTAGTAAATAAATAAACACAATAGTAGTAGTGTGGTGTTGTATAAAATAAATAAATAAACACAATAAGGCTCTAATGAGGACCTTAAATAAATAAAAACTATAATGAACAACAAAAACCTGAATGTCCAAGTGGAATAGTTTCTTCGAAAACCGAATTTCTTTAGTTTGCAATATAAATATGCTTATTATAAGCATTGAATTTCCTAAGCCATACGAATTTGTATGGTTTAGGAAATTCAAAATGCCCATTGAGGTTACATTTCTCATTTTGGGTTGATTAATTACATAAGGAGCTGCATAGTTACAAATCACTAAATAAATATATATTAATCATAGGATGTTGTATTATTTATCTTCCAAGTTGTGGTGGTTCTCTCCCTCCATAAAATTTTGGCTTAAATAGTAAAATTCTGTAATATTCAGATAAGGGGGTCTTCTTAACTTGATATAAATTGTTGATAGATTGGAACTTCTGTCCAAAATTTTGAAGCAAAATTATGTACCCTTTTCCAAAATGAACATGTATATCTGCCAAAGTACTGGCAGACCACGTCCTTTATGAATTGCAGCTTGCAATAACATAACTATTAGAGACAAACTCATTGGTTATGCTTGGCGATACTCAACTATTCTCATTAAAGCCTTGTCCAAATAAGTGCAAGAGCAATCCTCCTTCAAAAGAGAATACTTACATCATTTACTGTTGGCTAGCACTGTAGTTGTGCTATTCAAAGACCATAATGGTTACCCCTTGCAAGCATTATAGCAGGGAGCTTCTATTTACACCACAAAATCTCTTCCTTGCACCCATTTTTTACACTCATTTAAAAAAATCTTTTTACATCCCTTATAATTCCAAAAATAACCTCATCCTATAACCTTCCTCTTTTGTTTATTCTCTTAATCTTCTAAAAACGCTGACACACACACACTCCCACCAATGCGACACTCCAACTCTTTTATTGGAATGGAAGATTATCTTGTTAGGACTTTATTATTATTATTTTTTTTTGCATTCAAGTTTTGTTTGGCCAATTGGGGCCAAACCGGCCAAAATTGATGAAATTAGTCATGTACGGCCTTAGTGTGCGACCTAAAAATGTTTGGCTATGAAGGTTGAATAATCATAGTTTGTTGGTGAATTGGAGCCTATTGGTGCTGCGACTCCATCCTTTTTAAATAGCACGAAACTACATCAAAATGATAGAATACCATATACAAACATCTCTTAAACATCAAAATCTTAGATGTAATTTATTTACAATTATCATATATATGTTTTAACTAGGAGCTTTTAAATTTTTTCTTTATTTGTTTGTTTGTTTGTTGTTATTATTATTAGTTTTATATTCTTTATGGTAGATTTGTTAGGAGTTATGGAGGGATGGAGAGCGTGAGAGAAGGGAGAAAGGATGGCAATGGTTGGTGGAGGAGAAATGTGATGTTGGGTGATGGGAAGAAAAAAGAAGGGTGTAAAGAGAAATTCTATTAATACACACACACACACACATATTATGCTTTTAGTCCTTAAAGATAATTTTATGAAGGAGAGGGATGCAATGAGTTAAATTTATTAACTAGAAGCTCCCATTATTGTTGTATAGTGTGCATTGTGGGTTGGTCATTAGTGGTGGATCTAGAGTTTCTTTCACATATATATTTATTTATTTATTTTCTATCTTAACACAAAAGAAAGATATTGAAAATTGTAAACAATGTTTGAGTCCATAGATTGGTTGTTGGAATATCTCCCATGGAATAATCTTGAGAGCTTCTATTAGCAACCCACTTATTACTTTGGATCCTCTATTTTCAAAACCCTTAAAATCTCTCTCTGCCGCCCATATAATACCAAAATTATCCTTCTAAAAGCTTCACACCCACTAAATTGCACACCCTTCAGCACAATCCTAAAAACCATTCTTCTCCCAAAACCTTAAAAGTTAAAATCTAAAGTTCAACGTGGAGATCTCTCCGTCGATCATGTTTCTTACTCTCACGGTGGTATCTCTCTCGCTCTTTCTCACGACGGATCTCATAGGAAGAAAGACAAGTTTCACAAGTGAAGAGGAGCTTCTCTGTTGATCTGAAACCCATTTTCACAAGTTTCACGGCGGTATCTCTCTCACTCTCTCTTGATATGAAACCCATCTTTTTCTCAATCTTCCTTGCAAGATTTGAGATGGGTAGTTCAAATCTTCAAAAACATGGGAAAAAAATGGTGGAAACGGTTCGACTATTTTTTGGTACTAAACTCTTGAACGTATAACAAAAAATGGCAACACAGTGCCGAACATATGAATAATGTTCGGTAATCCGTTGTCAAATTGATGCCTTTAATTCGGCTCGGTGTTGCCATTTTTTTGTCATATGTTCGGGAGTTTAGTACAAAAAAAAAAAAGTCGAACCGTTTTCACCATTTTTGTCCATATTTTTAAAGAAACTTACCATTATAAGGCTAACCTCCTCCGAGCTTCAAACGCCATCCGAGCTTTGAACGCCATCCATGCTATGAACTTCCTCTGAGCAAACATTGTTGTATTCCATTCGTCTCATGGAATTATTATTGTCGGAAAAACTTCCACTTATTGTCATTGCTGGAGAAGTATGTATAATTGAATGGTTGCTACCGTTGCCGCCGGAATATCACCGCCGGAGGGTCCTCAAGGTTTTGAGGGTGGGCAAGTTTTGAATGTTTTAAAGTGTGTGGGTGGTGATGGAGGTGGATTCTTTCATAAACCCTATCTTATGATTACATGATTGTTTGGAATGTGTTATATAAGTGAATTTTTTTGACTTTTTGGCTAAAAAAGTAGAGAAAAAAAAGATGTATATTTGGGATAATTTTTTAACTTTTTACGAAAAGATGTGTAATAAAATGTTGTAGTAAAATCAAAATGACCATTCTACCCTTGTTGACTTTTGGAAAGTTGAATTCAAAGGGCAAAATAATAATTTTGTCCTCTAGGCTTCCCCGACAAGCTTCCCCCAAATAGTATGGATTTTTTGACTTTTTTAGTAACTTTTTGGTTTTTGTAGGTTATCCCAAACAAGCACTAAGTGGGTGTGTGGGCTTAATTGTGAGATGTGATGTCCAAAATAAATGATGTCCTCTTTAGTAATTTCATTTGAGGTTATTATTGTAATAACAAATAATAATAAAATTGGGGGGTCCAAAGTAATAAGTGGGGTGCTAATAGTAGCACTTATAATCTTTTATATTCAAAATAAAGTTGCTTTTTAAAACATAGTATGCTGTTTTAGAATGAGACTAGCAAATGAGTTACATTTTCATGTGTAAGCTGTATCAAGATTTCCAGGATGCTTGAGATGATGTATATAGCAAACAAGTTCACTTTCATGTGTAAGTTGTATTATCAAGATTTCCAGGATGCTTAAGATGACATTTTATGAATTTTGACTGGCATTGTTGAATACAAGTATCATTTCTTGAATTATAACAATTGTTTTCAATGTGAATTCTGAATTGCTACTTTCATTTTTTATTGACTCCATGCATTTACTCAATTAATGCCAGGCACCAGGGAAAAACGACAAAGATTTGCCCTCTGAAACATTGGTCAGTGACATTTTAAATTTTTTTAGCTTTATTACATGATTTTTTACATGTATCGATGTAGATTTTGTTTCATTTTTTTTTTCATTAAAAAATAGAAATGTAGTACTATGTGAAAGGAATGAATAGAAGATAATGTGGAAGAGTTTTTTCCCAGTTCAGAAATAGAAAACTTAAAAAAAAAAACCCAATATTTTGAAAACAAAGAACCAATATCACTGGATCCTGATTTTGTAAGAATATTTGTACTGAATGGCTATGATTTTGTTTTTGTACATTTGTGAATGCGTATGTGATTGGGACGTGAAGGCCACAAATATGTGTAATTTGCGTGTTGTATTGAGTTGAACATAATAAATGAACACTTTAGAGCGAGTAGGTACAACATTAAGATATTTAGCAAGTTTGCAGGGAATGTTATAAATGACATACAACCATGTCTGTTTTTGCTTATAGGATAGATGCTATTTGTCTAGCACCTGAGTCATTCCCGAGCACCATACATTGGAAGTGGACTTGTCATCAACTTCATTGGTATAAAACAAAACAGGCAACTGAATGAAATAGGCAAATGTGCAGTTCATGACAATAATTGTTCAGAACATTTTCTACGTATAGTTCTGTATTGTTTTGTGATGGAGGATTATATGATATAAAAAAAAAGTGTTGACAGTTTCCTAATGTGATGAACTGAAAATACATTCTACTCTTGACTTTTGGAAGTTCCTTTTTCTTTAGTTTTTATTCCTTAGAAACATAGACATATAAACACGACACAACATGTACACATGAAAATTTTCAAAAAATGTAGAACACGATACATGAGGGATACACAAAATAGATGGTTTAATATTTATTATGTGTCTCATATATGAATATTAAGTTCCAATATAATAAAAAGAATGTAACACAAACACTAATTCATAAAAGTTAAATACCGGGATTAAATGATAAATTTGCATTGTTTTTCTTCTATTGTTGTATCTTAATTATTTTCTTCAAATTTATAATATGTTTCATGTGTGTCTAAGCAATGAATATGAGAGTCATCCAAATATCCGAAGTCTGCTTGGGTCTAAAACAATTTAAAAAAAAGACATTTTTTGACGTGTGTTCGACATGTGTCAAACATGTTTGAAATAGTGAGGCTATGTCACGTGGATTCCAGTTAAAAGGCCATATGAGTGAAGCATATCTGTTGTCTTTTTCACAGTAAATTTGATATAATAGAATCATAGAATGTGTAATGAATTCATAGGAAATATTTTTTGAATTCATAGTACACATGTTTGTATTTGTATTAGTGCATATGATATTGAACATGCCTTTGTTATTTTTACTGTTCTTTGTTGTATTATTCAGAAGCGTATTTAAATAATCTGGACTAATCTAGTATTAATACAAGGTATTAAAAGAGCAAACCATAATTTTCATTGTCTCCTTTTCTCAAATTGTGTGCCTCCTCTCTCTCTTTTTTCTTGTCTATTTTCTTTTCAATAATTTCAACTTGGTATTAGAGCATGTTTCAAACTTGTTATCGGTGATATAGCTATAGCTGTAATGTAAAAAAAATTGCTCTCCATGTTGGACTAGGAGAGCTGAATTTCACCATGTTTTTCTTTTCTGATCTAAATGGTTTAGATGCGCTTTTTCATTTTTCCTTTATTTTTCGAAAAAATATCAGTATTGTCTAGATATGTGAGTTGTGGCTTATTTGGAGCAATTTTTTGGGATACATAAAGGAGAAACCCAGATTCCTGTTGGGCCACATATTGACCCTCAATCAGAGATTAACTAGTTGTTGCTTGAATTTCGTGATGTGACCCCAGATGAGTTATTGAATGAGTTTCCTCGTTTGAGTGACATTCAACATGCCATTGACCTACTTCCATGATCATAGTTACCTGATTTTTCATATTAAAAGATGAACCCCGAGGAGTGTGCTGACATGATAGGCAGGTAGCGGGACGTATATTCAGCCCAGTCATAGTCCTTTTACAGTCCCAACCCTTTTGATCTTGAAGAGGTATGTTTCTTGGAGGATGTGCATGGACAACAGGGCCATCAACAGGATCATGGTAAATATAGGTTTCTCATCCCCAGACTCGATGACTTGTTAGATCAAATGGTTGTTTCCAAGTGGCATTCTAAGATTGATCTGTGTAGTGGTTACCATTAGATCAAGATTAGACTGGTGATGAGTGGAAACCTCCTCTTAAGACTTAAGATGGATTGTATGAGTGCTTAGTCATACCTTTTGGTCTATTGAATATACCTCTATTACTTTCATGAAGGTTAGAACTGAGCTTTTGCATCCTTTCATTGGGATTTTTTTGGTTGCCTATTTTGATGACATCTTCATTTATAGTGGTTCTTTGGAGGATCACTTAGTTCATGTTCGTGAGGTTTTTGTTACCTGTAGGTTAGCCAAGTGACATTTTAACCTCAAGAAGTGTTCATTCATGCAGAGTCATGTGCTTGTCTATCCTGCTCATAAATTGATAATACGTTCAACCAACTCATCAGCACCGCATCTCCACCCCCCCACATTTGGAATAGGTACCAAATCCAACAAATTGTTAGGATTTTGGCCATAAACAATCTCGAAGAGACTTTGCTGTGTAGTTGTATCTTTTGGACTGATTAAAGGCAAATTCGGCTTGCTGTAACACAATCCCACTGCTTAGTGCTATTTCCCTTTCCAAATCCCTACACAAAATCCATGATCCAAACACAGAGCAATCTCGAATGCATAATCTGGTTCATTTAAAGAGAACCATTATGCACACAATAGTTCTCTTGCATATCTTTATATATTATTCACTTTATTATGGGCCTAATATATGCATCATCCTCATAAAGTTCTTTGAAGTGGCAAAACCAACAACTTTCACCTGCATAGTAGATAATAAAGAAGACCACCTGCTTAATGCATCTGCTACTCTATTATGTACTCCGGCCTTATGCTTTGAAGGGAAAGTAAACCCCTGCAAGAATGAAACCATTGTCCGTGTTTTGGACCCAAGTTCTTTTGTCTGTATTACTTGATATCATAAGTTGAATTCCAGAGTCTTGTACCAACAAGCTTCTTGTTGAAGTATGCAGCAAGTTTACTTTCTTGACTTTAGCACAACTCCAATGCCAACTTGCAAAGCATTCAAATATGTTTTCAAAATCTGGCGGTGCCAAAATAGGTGCCTCAGTTAACTTTTTCTTTTATAGTGTGATGCTATCCTAAGCCTTGTTGGTTCACCTAGAGACACCATTCTTCATGCAGTTTGTAATTGGTGCCATTATAGTGCCGAAATTTTGAATAAACTGTCGACAAAAGCTGTGAAAGCTGCAAACATCGTGAACATTAGAAGGCCACGGCCACTCAAGAATTTCTTTCACCGTTTATGCATCAGCTCAAAGACCTGTAGAAGGAACCTCATAGACCAAAAATGTTAATATAAAGTGGCACACTCCTAGTAGTCAAAAGCAGTCAGAGATTCTCTTTGTGCACTTCAATGAAGGTACACAAGAATATCACCAAAGTAGTCGACAACAAACTCGCCAAAAAAAGGGTCTCAACACACGATTCATGACTCACATAAAAGTACTAGGTGCATTTGATAAGCTAAACATCACCAACTGCTCATAGGGTCCTTTTGTCTTAAATACTGTTTTTCAATCATCACCTGTACGTATGAAAACCTGATGATATCCACTCTTCAAATCAATTTTGGAAGAGATGCTAGCCTTGCTAGCTGATCTAACATATGATCAAGTCAAGGAATTGGAGTATGGTAGTTAACAGTAATCTTATTAATAGCTCTACTGTCAATACACGTGCCAACTCTCATATTTCTCTTGCACTAGCAACGCTGGAACAACACAACAAGGACTCATGGGGCTTGTTTGGTTTGTTTTTGGGAGAGTTGTTTTTGAAAAAAAATTTAGGGAGAGTTTAGAAATTTTTTTAATTTGTTTGGTTGTATATTTTGGGAGAGTTGTTTTTTTGGGAGTTTGGGATGATTTGATATTTTGGAAGAATTTGAGTATATGTGTGAGAGAAAAAGTGATTGAAAATGAGAGAAGAGAGAAAAAATGATTGATTGATGTGTAAGAGAGAGAAAGTGATTTTTGAAATTTTTTGAGAAAAACTCAAACCAAACAATTTTTTAGAATTTTTTTTCTAAAACTCATCTCCCAAATGCAAACCAAACATACCCATGCTTTCTCATTTATAACCCATCTGTAACAGCTCATTGATGTGCTTGCACAACTCTTCACAATCTTTTTGGCTGTGCGCTTTATTAGTAAAACTAGCCCCAGAGTTCAAGTCAATATGGTGCTTTGCAAATCATAGGAGGTAGTCCTAGAAGCAACTCTTGTGGCATCATGTCCTTAAATACTGCAATAATAGGCTGCCTCTGTACTGGTATAGCTGCTGGCGATGGTACATGCTTCCCTATCAACGTGTACAACACTCCATTGTTCTCTTCTTTGTCAAGAAATTTAGATAGAGAGAAAGTTACCACCTTTCCCTAGTTTAGGCTCGGGCATGCTCTTTCCTTCAGATGGGCCCAAAATATTCTTCTCCTTATCTTTATAAAATGTATATGTATTTTTTAGACCATGTGTTTTACAGTACGATCATGTACCCAACAACAAATGACACACATCCATAGCGACTACATCACGCCGTATTTTATTAAAATACCTGTTACAATGGAAAAAGAAACTAAGCATTGCTTGGTAATAGGTACTTAATTCCTTTTCTTAAACCATGTCAATTTGTAAGGATGAGGATGTGGCTTCATTTCTAGCTTTAACCTGTGCACTGCCTCTTCAGAGATGATGTTTTTGTAGCTGCCACTGTTAATGATTAGTTTACAATCATGCCCACCAATAGCACAAGTGTTACGGAAGATGCTTGTTTTTAACCTATCTGCTTGAGTCTCATGCTTTGGGGTCAATTGGCTCTTCTGTTCGTATGACAAGTAACTTGCCTACACCGT